CATTAAAAAAACCAAAAAATAAAATACTTTGAGACGTCGGATCTAAAATCAAATGGTGAGTGGCTCCCTTGATAAAAAATGGAGGGGGAGGATAGAACTTCTATGTTGTAGGGAGGAACGTAGAAAGCTTTCCCAAATCTTATATCCCACCAAATCTAAAACTTGAAGCTAGACTGATTTCAATTGTCAATCCGTTCTTTATTACACCATCTAATGACATTCAAATAATCACCTTTGACAGCACATGAACTTTCCAATCTTTTTCTATAAAGAGCTTTAATCCTTGGAGAAGAACTGCAAATTCAACATATTTAACAGTGGCAATTCCAATGGTGCTAGCATAAGAGAACATAATATTTACATTTTCTAATATCATCCCCCCAATACCCGCCTTACCAATGTTACCAAATGTGCTTTCATCAAAATTAAGCTTAAAACAGCCCTGGATAGACCTTTAGGCCGTAATTTAACAATGCCCAACTTGAATAGATTTGAAAGGTTGAGAATGACATCCACTTCTGAACTACCCCACCCTTCCTTTGTAACCAGTATCAAAGGGTATGCTTAATATTGCTAACAACTCGGTCAAAGGGGTAAAATTGTCCCATCAAATCTTCAATTACGGTCTTTCCAAACTTCCTACATAATCGCACTTTTTAGAACATTCCAAGTCACAGTGCCAACCTTGGGGAAGCTCGTGAGAGCAGGTTGGGTCACAATACCCAAAACATATTGAGGCAAAGCTAGCCTTACCCCTAACTGCATAAAAACCCGTGACAAATTCTAGAAAAACAAACAATGCACAAATAAAATGGGGACTTGATTCCCTATTTTCCTTGTACATCAAACAAATATTTGGAATAATTTTTTCCCTCTTTGAAATTAAGTTATCCATAAGGATTTAATCTTGAATAGCCAAACCAAATAAAAACTTGCAGTCTATAGGGATTAGGTTATTTCTAAATATTTGCAATCTATGGTAATGACCGGCACCAACAATCATGAAAGAGAGGTCTATATACCGATTTCATAGAAAAACACATGATCTTGAGTTGGAATAGTTGCAAATGAGTAGAATGTTAAATAATCAATCTCTTATTTTTTATAAATTTCCCTATATCATGTGATAGATGGAATGCATCATAGCATACATATGCTTAAACAACAAAAGGATAATGAGTGCATATATATGCTCCCTATGGAGGATATTGTCTCCCTCCCTCAAAACACCTACTTAGAAGAATTTTTTTAGTTTAAAATTTTGGGAAACACATAATAATCACTCGATGATTATTTTTAAAAGAAATATTTGTATTTTAAGTTTTGTGATACTTAGATATAGAACTTAAAAAATTGGACAATCTCTATCCAATTTTGAAACATAAATTTATTCTAGTACATAGAGAGCTAATTTTGGAAAAAAAAAATTGCCAAGATTATTCTATGGGTTGTAAAGATTATATCATACAAATTTATGTATTTTGGCCTTGGGAGGAGGAAATCTTTTAGCAAGGAAAATTCATACACGTCCCATTTGCAACGGATTGTATGTATTATAAGGCTCGCAGTGGGCCTTAAAAAGTAGGCCATGTGCCATGAAATGTGGCTAGAGGACCAAGCCGAGGGTTGGACCTAGGCCTTGGCCATGATAAGGCTATGCCGGCCCGACCCTGTAGTTTTGTTTACGTCTTTCCAAATCTTTTAGTCCATGGACCTTTTATGTTGGGTCCGGCCAGGCCGGCCCTATAGGGACCCGAGCTGTTGCTAGGCCTAGGTGTATACATTACATGTTTCTCCCATCCACAAGATGTTTATCATATATAACTAGATTTAATGAATTCATTGTGCGATTCTCTAGGTGAGAAATTTGGTTAAAAATAAGATATTGAAAGAAATGTGTGATGGGTAATTGGAAAGGGTGACAAAGTGTCCTTTTGACTCCATAAGTGGTTAGAGAAAAGGCGTTTGAGGTTTACATACTCCGATCTCTTGACTAAGGTGACACGACCCTTATTCAAGAGAGAGTATAGCGGTCTAGGTCCAACCCTCGGGGTCCTACAATACCAACAACTGGACTATAACACTTGTGATCAGGTCATCACCATCCAATCAATTGTTGAACATGACGGAGAGGAAGTGACACCCATCTTTGGACAAATCATGTTGTGGTCGGCTCTACTCCCTCTTCATTCACTGCCAAACTAGTAATGGGAGGTGGTGGCCCTCATGACTATGGATTTTATATAACTATGAGGATTTGTCTTTAGGTCTTGGTAATGCTTAGAAAGTTCTATAAATTAAGGAGATTGTAAAATTGTTGGGGCTAGTAGAGGAAAATACCTACTACCATGTTGGGTACTCGATACATGAAGTGTATTTATATTTGGGTGTGGTTTGTATAAGGTTACAACTTTAAACAATCAAATGAAGGTGTACCTCTAAATTTTATTTTAAATATAATTTTGGTGTCAATTTTTTTTTATATGACTTGATAATCTACTTTTATCTCTAATTATAAAATTTTGAACTTTAAAAATAGTTCAAATCAAGTAGATCTATAAACACATGAAAATCTTTAGAATGGATTATTTAAATAATGTGTTGCAAGATATACCATTTTTGGGACTCAAAATCTTTTTTTCTTTTCATATTCATATTTCTCAATGATGAGATGATCAATTAGAGGGCTTTCCAATATCAAAATAATTATTTATGATGGATTTTTGAGATACACCTTGATTCTACATTTTAAAGTTGCAACAACCTTATATAAGCTTTTTCTTTTATATTTATATCATGACACTATGTTACAGTAGTGATTTTGCATTTGTTTGATCCCTGTTTGGAAGCAGAAACTTAAGTCTACAATGAATAATATAATGCTGAAATAAGTCTATTAGGAGTAGCTTTATTTGCCAGTATTGGCAAACACTGTTGTATTTGCAACATTATAAACATGGTCATTAATGTTAGACCATATGGTTTCTATTTACCTCTATTTTAATCAAATATACCCATCTTGTTAGAGTGCCACCTATGCTAAATATAATTACATCTATGAGCGTGAGTGCACTCATGCACGTTTATGAAAGAGAAATGGGGTATGTGTGTGTGAGAAAGATGTGTGTATGAGACAGAGAGAGAGGTTTGAAAAGGAAAAAGACATATACACCCTTTCTAAAATCACAATCCCAAAGAAACTCCCGGGTCCATGGGAGGAAGACCATAGAGCCCTCCAAGTTCATTGGAAAAAAATGTTTGACCTTTCTTACATTTCTCAATGTACAAATTACAAAATTTACCTTTTTTTCTTTTTTGTAATAACCCCATCATATAAATAGAATTTGAGATGTCATAATATCATAGAGATAAGAATTCAAGGGAGGTTACAAGAGCGAGAAAGAGAGGGAGAGGTCCACGGGTGAGGAAAAA